AGTAAAATTAACTATAAAGTTAATATATATATATATATATATATATGGAAAAAGTATTTTTACAGCCACTTTTGATAAGGTTATCTACAGCTAGGGATGGCAAAAACGAGCCAACCCGTCGGGTTGGGTTGGCCTAAATGAGCTGCCAACCCGACTCAACCCGACCCGATATAACTCAGACCCAAACGGGCCAGCTCGCGGGTTGGATATTTTTTTTTTAATTCAAAAAAAAAATGATTGTATTAAAAAAATAATAATAATAATATGAAAACTCCAAAACTGTCATACGCTCACATCGTCGTCACTCGTCACTTTCCTTAACCCTAAGATTCTTCTGCCCCCTTGGATAGCTTGTTCACCATGTTACCATTAACCTTGCATCTTCGGGTCTATTGGCCTATTCTCTTGACAAACGCAATCCACTACTCCGAATGTGCAATACCCTTTTCTCTATATTTCTCATCTTTCTTTCTTACTTTTCCCCAATATATATATATATATATATATATATATATATATATATATGAAAATGGATTCATTGTTCTTCTTCTATGTTGTTGACATTATAAGATTTGTTACTTCAATCTTTTTTCTTTTTCCAATCTGGGTACCTTAGTTGAAACCTTTTGGCAGTGTTGATAATTTTAGCAGTGTTGGAAAACAAATAAGACTAGTTCCACAAAAATCAATTTTTTTGAGCCAACTCACGAGCCATGTAACACCCCATTCTAGAACCGGTTTGTTAACATCGCATTATGATATTAAGCGCAGTTACAATCACATGGGTTCAATTAAAATCCGGATAAATTTTTCATTTTAAAACATGCCGAATTTATGATACCCAATTTCGTGATCATAACCGTATTACCTTGCGGAATCAGATAAATTAAGCTTAACATCATGTTCTTATTCCATTTTTAAACCATTAATTTACTTCCTATTTATTTCACAACTTCTATTATACTGTAGATCTCTTCATTAGCTACCCGTGGCTTCAAACCGCGCTCAAATCGGAGTACTGTAGCCCAAGTTATGACAATTTGAAGCAACACAAGAGGGTGTTGATCACAGGCCCCGCGCGCTTCAGCGCGCTATCGGGCGCTCAAGCGCGCGTTATCGGGCGCTCAAGCGCGCGTTATCGGGCGCTAAAGCCTCCATCTGGGCGCTTAAGAGCGCGGAGGCAGGAAGAATCAGGTTTTTCAGAGTAAATGGGCGCTTAAGCGCGCACCAGGGCGCTCAAGCGCGCTATCCTGGGCGCTTAAGCCCCCATCTGGGACATTTTAGCGCGCAGAGGCAGAAACATCTCCTCATTCCGCGGCTAAGGGCGCTCAAGCGCGAGGAGGCCGAATGCATTGGCACTCACAGGGGCAGCAGGGCGCTTGAGCGCGCTCCTGGGCGCTTAAGCGCGCTGCCAGGGAATTCCAATTCCCACATTTTTCAAGTCCAATTCTAGGGGAAGATGCATCCCCCTTCCAAACCCCAATGGTTTATACCTCAAAACTAAATCCTAGCACTCATCCAACCTCTCCTCATGAGATTTAGCTAGAATTTGGGCAGCATAACCTTTGTTTTCTCAACGTTTCCCAATTTAAACAAAAGGTACCTAATTGATTCTCAGCCCAACCAATTCAATAACTCAATACATAACAAGCATGCATATATTGAATTCCAAGTAGGCATCATTTACAGTACATATTCATTACAAATCATGGAACTTAGCTTACAAAATACTATGATCATTCCCTTGACTCCCATCAACAAAAGAGATGACCAAAGGCATGAGCATAGGCTAAGTCCATTCCAATATACAAATGATACATCTATCAATGGTCTATGAATTACAATCCTATACATGTGAGCTACAAAACAACATGTATGATATCAAAATACTGGATCCTCAAGCATCAATACTAGTCCAAGTATGGCCACTTGCCACTAGTGGCTTCTACAGCATCCTTACCTGAAAGGGGGTCCCCACAACACGGGGTGAGATATACGAATATATCCAGTAAACCAGGGGTCCTTGGAGCATCTCTCCACCCCACAGTTCCATATCAGTGTAATAACAATAACAATAATAATGCAGTAAATACATATCTATGCAAAGTGCAATAACATCTCCAGGAGAAATCCCTCGAGCTTTCAAGCTGTCCTAAGGAAACTCAGATGCAAATAGTCCTACTGGCCAGCTAACTACCAAGTATGATTTACGCATCGTCATGCAACATACCAACATAGGGAAACACCATCCTATGCCACACCAAATGCATACACATACGTATAACAAAGCATTACACTATTTTATTGCATTTATATACACAATCACAACCTCTACCCTTTCAGGGCTTGGTAGAACAGTCAAGGGAATTACACCCAAGGTCCAAAGGCTTACCTCAAGCTTTAGCCAACCTTTGTTCCCACCAACAGTTTCTGCAACCAGTTACAATTATCCACTCACCAAACAAGACATACACAAGGTTTAATGCAATTAACACATATTGCATCCAATAACATCTCATAGCTATCAACCAAGCTATACAATTCATACCAAACATAAGCATGAACTTACCTATCCAATGGAGCTAATCAAGCTCCATAGCTTGCTCCAATGGTTGGTCTCTCAAGGTTGGTCCAATTGCCTCAATCCTAGACAACACCAAGGCATAATCAACAACCAACCAAACCAAACCATTTATCAACAATGCAAGAAATCCAATATCTAAGTGTCATATTCTTGCCATTTTCCTAATATACTCATTTAGCTATCTAAGCTCATTTTCACCGATTAAACGTCGTTCCTAGCATTTTTCACAACATGCTCTAAGCTCCATTCTTCCTAGAACATAGCTAATTTAACAATATTTCATCAAAAACCCTAAAACATTATTCATAAACCCTAACTCATGCAATTTTCCATGAAAACATGGTTCAAGGGTTAGAATCTTACCACCAATGGTCACATAACCAAGGATTGATGGCTCCTCAAGCTTCAATGGAGGTTGAAGCACTCAAAACCCCAAATTTCACCAAATGGGCGAATTTTTGAGAGTCAATATCCCTCACCACAATGCTCCCCACTCAAAACAAAGCTAGGATTATGAAAGAGGAGAAGATTCTAGGTGGTTTAGGCTTTGGAATCACTCAAAATGGTTGAGATTTGAACTCTCTAGGTTTTTCCTCTCTCCCTCTTCTCCTTCCTTTCTCACTTCTCCCTCTCTTGCTGTCGACGGGTTGCTTGGGGGGAAATGGGTTTTCTTTCTTGCTTTATCACTTAACTCAGGTTAAGTGGCTTATGTGGGTATCGGTTCATCTATCTATTCAACTCCATTAATTTCCAAACTTTACCCAAAAGTCTGGAATATTATTCTAGGAATATTTACAATTTTATTTTTATAATTTGGGCACTTTTGCGAGTACATATTTATACCCCTTAATTTTCACTGAGTACACTTTTTAACTCCAAAGTGACTCAGATTCATTTAATTAAGCCTTATACTTAATTTTACTCACTAAAACATGCTTAATTATTTAATTACATGTAATTTGCTAATTAATTAGGTTAGGGCTATTATAAGCCAATATTTCGAGCTAACCAACCCGCGAGCCAACCTACTGGCATCATTTCGAGCTAACCCGCGAGCTTTATTTCGAGCCAACCCGCGAGCTGACTATCGAGTCAACCCGCGAGCCAACCCTAACCCGGCTCGGGTCGGGCTGGGTTGGATTTTCTGGCTCGTTTATTTTTTTGGGCCAACTCTAACCCGACCCGTTTTTTACGGGTTGAATGCGGGTTGGCCCGTTTTGCCAACCCTATCTACAGCCACCATTTTTAACTATGTTCTCTCAGGATAACATAATTATAACATTAAAGTTGGCTTTTTCTCTCTCTTCACGTCAGCAAACAGGTTCTGAAAAGTAACTGGGGAGAGAGAAAAAAAAGCAACTTTATTGTTATAACTATGTTCTCCCGGAAGAATATAGTTAAAAATGGTGGCTGTAAATAACCTTATCTAAAGTGGCTTCAGAAATGTGTACCCCTATATATATATATATATATCAAGGGCGGACCCACTTTGTTGCATGTGTCTGCAATTGCAGACGCAAATTTAGGAGAAAAAAAAAATTAACTATTCTATAAGGCATTGGACTTTATGGATCAGACACCGTGAATCATGCAATGCAAATGAATCCTTGAGATGTGAACCATTGAATTTAATAAATTGTGGAATTTAAAGTAGGGTTTAATTATTTTAATAAAAATTTTAATTAGCAATGTTGATAATTACATAACAGGTTGTAAGAAATTTTTATAAATGTTAAAATTTTTAATTAGTAATGTTAATAATTAGCAATGTTAAAAATTCCTGAATCCCATCACTTAATGTGCAGACATAAATAAAATTTTTTGGGTCTGCCACTTATATATATATATATATAAAAGTAAAAATGTGTATCATTTTAAAGGATGTGAAGTTATGTCATTTTAAGTGAGAGAAAGAGATAGATAAAGGAGGAGAGAGTGGACAAAAAAAAATGAAGGTGTGAGTCTCCCCTCTTTGTGAGTGTGAAAGGATATAAGTTGTGTTATTTAAAATGACAAATATTTTTCCCGCATATGAATGTGATAAGTTATTCTATCTATCCTTTTTTTGTCTTTCTTTATCTACCACTCTTAAATACTATTAAATCAAAATCTTAACTACCTTTTATTATTTCTCTCCCATATTGAGATTATAATTTAATGATGTTGGAGAGTGGTAGGCAAATATAGACAAACTAAGAGGTAGATAGAATAACATATCACCACAAAAAAAGCGGCATGTAGCCACTGTATGTTTGCCACGGTTATTATAATCAGGTATATCTAACTCAAAAATCCAAAGTTGGCACGCAAGAAGTCCCACTAAGACAACGCGAGTGAGTGTGAACTTCTAAAATATCAACGGTAAAACTCCAAAACTCCTAAATATTGATCTTTTTCCTTTTCCAACACTAGAGCACCAAATTATGTGTTTCTTTCACAAATGAACGTCGAATTTGTAAGTTCTCCATTCTCATACCATTTTCCTTAAGATCGATGCCACAATCGCCATAGATAAAGCTCCCTAATTTTGATAATGTGGTATTTTCCAACCTTCTTCTACGGAGGATACTGGTTATTTTTTTCATTTTGGTATTTTTTGGTTTGAATTTCTAGGGTTATGAAGTTTTTATGTCTTCAACTCTTTTGTTGGATATCGATTCGGAGGAGAGTGAAAGTATAATAAGGTTAGGGTTTTATTGAAAGCATTGATTTATAGAAAATATATGTTGTTCTTGTTTCCAATTTTGAAATTGAAGTTGGATTTGACAATTTTGTATGTTTTGCTGGGTTCTCGTTTTTACTCATGCTTCATCGTCCTCTTCGCCCTCTTATTCTTATTCATCCTCCTCTTCCAGCTTCGGTTTGTGTTTCCTTTTTGGTAAATTTTACCTTTCTTTTCATTTTAAATCCCTTACTTCTATATTCCCAATCTTAATATTTTTTTTTTAAAATTGCTGTATTAACCAACTTGATTGCGGTTTTGTTAGTGATTTTAACATTAGTTTTCTGATAATTAAAGAGCCTTTTGTGTTTTGTAATGACATCTGACTTTAGTGGAGAAGAGAAATACGATTTCCATTTGTACTATGTTGAATTGAGATACTTTGTACTTCTCGAGTCCATCACACGATGGTGTCCTAGACTTGATAAATGCAACAGAAGGCAGTTGATTAGAATTCAAGTGTAACTCTTTTAAGTTTTAAGAGTTTGTTGATATATCACTTGATACTATGGGCCTGGATGTCTCTTTTTTTTTTACGTGCATTTGGCAATTGCATATCTTGAACTCATTGCCCTTAATTAAGACAAATGCAGTTTTGGTTGAACAACATTATCTGACACGAAACTGCTCATGTTTCCATAGGAGTGAGTGTAAAGTTAACCACATGTTAGTGCTAGCAGACCTCCCATCATATTAGGAAGAATAAGGCCCTATTTTGTTATTAACAGAAATGAATAACTGGATTGGACAGCTGGAGTTAGTTACAGTGAGTATATGACAATTACAGAGGCAGAGAACTTTAGGATTTGATTGGAATAGAGAGCAAAGGAGAGGCCGGACTGTGTTCTTAACTGTTCTTAATCTCTCACTAGCATTAGGACTAACCCTAATATTCTAACAACCATATTAATATTGTTGCAACTATAAATAAATTTTAATTTTGATTAAGGCTGGTAGATGAACTTTTGCAGGTACCAACAGAAGGGTCTTAGAGCTCAAGCTATGAGTACTATCACTCATGGAAAGTCTGTTGCTAGCATAGAGAATTCAAAGAACAACCCTGATCATCTCCTTGTTCTTTGTTAGAGATGTAATATCAAACCATTCACGTGTCTTCACCTACCAACTTAAACTATTGGAATAGTTGGTTCATGATATGGTATGAGAGCCTCTAAAATTAACTTTTCTAGAGTTCAATCCTTGTCTCCGTTCTATAATGCCATCTTTGGACTAGCTAATCTGCCACGTGTCAAAATCAGGATGTATGATGTTCTCAAGGCACAAGATGTTGACACGTTGCCCGGTATCTGTGGCTAGTCTTTGCAATATGAGTGTCAAAAGCAAATAACACCGTTGAAGGAAAAGGTTGGCTGGTCCTGGATGTAAAGGAGTGGGTGAGAGTAGTACTCCAATCACATTTGATTTTGTTTATTTGGAATTCTTATTTCTAGAATTGTCCATTTACCCAAAATAAATAGAAACTACCCAAGTTATGTATTAGAGTCAAAAACTAATTCCCTTCTGTTTTGTAGATACAGCAATCAGACAGTGTTCTGATTTTAGAGTGACAAAAATCTGTGCTTTGTGAACATCTTGCCAGAAATGAGTGACCCCAAGTATGCCTATCCTTACCCTGCTCAAGGTAACCTTCTTTTCATGTTTCTTCTCTTCATATTATATATGCTTACGTCTACTGGACCTTGTTCATTATCAAACATTAATTTCAAAAAATTTCATCCTCTGAAACAAGACTTGGTTTTGTCCCATATGATATTATAGATTGATGGTGGAGAGAACTGCCCCTCCCCCTTTATTCTTTTCCCACTTTTGAGATAAAAAGTTGTATTTTTTTTTCTTGTTTTACCAAATTTGGTTTACTATGTTCTTTCTATAACATTTCTTTCTCCATGAATCATGTTCTTTGCGGGGAACTTTTATTGGCAGGGTATTATCAAGGTCCTCCTGTGATGGCACCACCACAATATGCTGCTCCACCGCCCAGAAGAGATACTGGATTCCTCGAGGGATGGTAAGTTCCCAACTTTCCATTGCTATGCAGAGTACTTGTTTGTTATGTTCAATTATTAGCCATGTCGTTTTTTATTTTTTTTTTTATTTTTTTTCATTATCACAATGACTCAAAAAATAAATAAAAATATTTAAACACTTTTTCTTTTATTTTTTCAAATTTGTATGATTTGTGATGGTAATGTGACTATAATTCGTTGTTTAATTCTTCTAAAAGTACTTCCGTATCTCACTTGTGAAACTTAATAGATTAACAGTTGGTTGGGTACCCAAAGCATTTTCAATTATAAGGATGGTTTTATTAATTTGCACCCTGTTAACTCAGTTCATTAGTTGCCTAATTTCCAGACCAGTGTCCCTTATAATTACTTAAATAAGAAATTCCAAGTGGAAGTTCATATCACTGCAGAGTCGCAGCATGTTAGCATAAGATGAAAGCCTGTATCCAGAAATGCATGTGGTAGTGGTCGAAAGTTGTATCTGCATCACTTGATCCATGCCCCTGAAGCAGCTAGGATTAGGGAGAAATACACAGACCAAATCTCGGTGAGAACTAGTAGTTATTTTTTTTTTCCCTTTGCAACTATCTACTACTGATGTAATTTATGGTGATGGTGAAGTACAAATTTGTATGATTTGTTGCTTTGGTTGCATGGTTCCTGTAGAATGTGGAGTAAGGCTAGTGTGCGCCGGATATGCTGTGTATGGTGTCGACTATGAAGGGCATGGACACTCTGAAGGTGCCCGATCTTACATAAAAAAGTTTGATAACATTATTAACGATTGTTATGACTTTTTCAAGTTAGTCAGTGGTAGGGATTCAAATTATTGACTTTATTTGCATTATTCTCAATGTTGAAACTTTTATACTGGCTGAGAAGAATATAGCTTCATCCATAAAACAGATCAGTTGAGAATAGATCATCAAATTCATCCCCTCCTTCCACATCGGTCTTCTGGGTATGCCACTCCTCTTCACTAATATCATGCTAGCAGTAGCTTAGTTGTATAGTGTCATAGGTGAGGTATTTCTCGGTTTGTTTAATGCCTCTATATATAGTTCAAAGAAGATTAATTCATTTTATGCTGGACCTGAAGTAAATGTATGGAGCTGGAGCTGTGGTGTAATTTTATACGCTCTTCTCTGTGGCACTCTTCCTTTTGAAGATGAAAACATTCCCAACCACTTCAAGAAAATCAAGGTATTATTAATATTAATTTAGTTATTATTAGATTTTCCTTTTTCATTTTGTTGGTTTGAAAAGACTAATAGATTACCTACCAGTACCATTGTCATGCCAAATTATTTTCTTAACTGGTTTTGAGCTTGACATTGTCCATGTGTTGAGGGAGAGTTATGACTAGGCCAGAAAGGCCTAATACTTATTAGGTCCATATTAATGCTACTCTACAGATTAATGCTTCTTTTGAGCACCCCACATCTCAAATCAGATTTATCCCTTCAATGATGTTTATGTGCAAAGAGATTTAATTTTGCATCTGAAGTGTACCTCACTACTAATTATTTGTTACAGGGTGGGATATACAACAAATGCACTAACTGCATGCTGCACTAAAAAGAAAGCATGTGTTCGTGTGAATGCACGACGTCCTTTGCTCTAATCAGCAAGTGGATTTGACATATATTGTGGATAGTGTCAAACAACTTTATGTTCAGTGGAAGAGACAATTTCCTATAAATATTAACTAATTTCTTGAATTTAATAGCAATTCAAAAAATAAAACAATTGATTAGCACCTCGTGGTGCGTGCCTTTATCATTCTATAGACGTTTTGACATCTATTAAATAGATTGAACTTTTATTTCATATATATATATATATATATATATATATATATATATAATATAAAATGTAGGCTGTTACATCAAAAATACATTACTTGTACTATATGGAAATACAATATATCTCTTCACTACACCAAATTTAGATTAAGACTTGTAGATTAACTACTTGGTCTGTGTAGTTGGACTTGGATGAAATGGAAAAAAATAAGAATTTTGAGAAATTGTGTAATAAACATGATTTACTTATATTAATAGAAAAGAAAAATGTATTGTGTTAAATTGTGTACTCTACTTTATTTGATTATCTCCCTTAATTTGATTTTTGGTTCTTGTATCAAATGCAATTTTTATTATTTGCTTTTTATATGATTGGGAAAATTTGTAATATTTTTTATATTTTTAAAAAAATTTCTTATAATTAGCCACGGTTCTGCCTGTGGCAAATAAAATTTTTCATCATTGGGATCCAAATCGTTTAGCCATGATATAATGTGGCTAATATAACATAAACCGTGGCTAACTCAATGTTACCACACTCATATTAACCGTGCTTAAATGAAAAAAATACCGTGGTTAAAATAATGCAACGCCCGTTTTAGCCACGGTTTTTGAAACAGTGGAGAACTCATTTAGCCACGGTTTTAATCATATTTTGCCATGATTTTTGCCGTGGCTAAAGAGCAATTTTGTTGTAGTGTATCCCTAAATATATATATATATATATATGTAGAGGACAAAATCATTTGACACCAAATTTTGACTTTTGATTTCGGTCAATTTAAAGTTTATAATTTATTAAAAATTAATTAATAAGTATGACCTAATAAATTATAATCGTTAAATTCACGAAAATCAGTAATTAAAGATTTAGTATCAAATGATCTTATTCCTATATATAAAAGTGTGTATGACTTATATTTTCTTTTTATCTTTCTTTTTTTCACATGAATCCATATGGGCCCACATAAAAGTATAAAAGTATGTGTAATATGAAAAATATTAAACCCTAAAGTTCATAAGAAAGCTCAAACTAAGCAAGGTTCAACGGCAAACCGATTTGACTAAAGAACAGATCAAAGCGGAGCACATGCAAAACTTTGGTTTTTCACCAACTTGGGAGGTACAGCTACTCAATCAAACTTGTACGCATGCTACATGCACAAAACATCGTTTTTTATGTTGCAAGTATTCGTCGTATGCATTTTAGAGAAATTTCTTTGCGGCGACGGATGCACCGTAAACTCGATGCATCTTCCACTCATATTGCGACACATGTCTTATTTTTATTAAATTAATAATAAATAATTTATTTTAAAATTAAGAGAAAGAGTGATTTGATATAAAATAAAATACGTGTCACAACATGAGTGGAAGATACATCAAATTTTCAGTGCATCCGTAGTACGAAAGATATTCTCGCATCCTAGGTATGCACAGAAAACAGAACAAAGTAGAATTCTGTTATGACAGAATCTTTCTCAATAAGACTAAGCTACAAACATGAAATCACATCGTGACACACTGAAAGTGAACTAAAGTACCAAAGGCGATAAATTGAATTTAACTAACAAACAAAAGTGGAGAAAAAAGGTAGGAAATAAAATGCCAAAATGTATGTTCCCTATATCACCCTTTATACAACTTTTTTGTTTTTTTTTGAATAATTACGATATGAAAGGGGAAAACAAAAGAAATCAAAAGCAAATTAATTCTTTATTTGAAAGAATAAAGTCTCAATACTTCTCCTTTTTATAGGTGTGTGCACGCTAATAGAAATCCATCGAAAAACAGTCTACATTTGTTTAAATATGTTAAAAAAAAAATTAATTTAGTATTTTAATAAAAAACAAGTATTGCAGAAATGTTTTGGAAAATCTTTTTCTACCAGGGTTCGTCAGGATCTAATGGAAATCAAGTTTTACAACAAGTTTATTAAAAATTGGTTTAAAAAAACTTGTTCATTTTCTTGTAATGTTGTTGGTTAGTTTGGAAGAAATGTGCAATATAATAAAAGAAAGAATAGCATACTTTAAAGACCTATAAACTTTTAATTGATTTAAGTTGGCAAAACAACATATTGTCACCTTTATGTTCTATGTTTTATGGGTTCTTCAGGGTTTATTACTTTATTATTTTACGCAGGTCTCTGATTGGATGCATTATTAAGTATTAACAGGTCTTGAACATGGTAGAGTAAGAACTTAGAATGAGGAAAGTTTTGATCGAATGGGACAAAATGCAGTGTTAGGTTGGCTACAGAAGTGTGGATCAGGCCCAGTGCCGGAGCAAGAGTATCATGGAAACATAACTTGAGGCCTGACAATGAACAATTGAGCATACTCAAAAAGAAACTTTAAATAAAAAAAAAAATGAATCCCGCACAATTTAAATAAGTATATGGAATCACTTTAAGACTTGTCTAAATATTTTTTACATAATTTTTTTTTTTTTGCGAGGACAAAATAAATAAAATCAGATGGTAATAATAATTAGTTTATAAGTTGGCCAATGATATCTTATTCGTTAATCTTATAGCAACACATGCAGGATATATAGTTCAATCAAATATTAAAAAAGAACAATTTGACATTAGAGAAAATAAAATAACGTTGTGTTTGAGTCACATTTTTATATTGGATTACTTAAAACTGATTAGACTTTATATAAATAAAATTAGATAATTTCAAAATCCAATCAATTCATATTTGATAATTTTTCGAATAAATAATTTCATTTATGAATTAAATTAAGTTTTAATTTTTTTTTGATAATTTCATCACGCGCTTTAAATTCAATTGGGATTACGAAACAACAATGGTGAAGACTCCTTCATCTCTAAGGGGGTATTTGGTAGGGAATATTTTTTTACTAGGAAAGCATAATCACTGGGAATATTGTATGAAAATAAGTTTGATGAGAAAGATTAAAAAAAGTTGTTTAGTAGACTGATATATTACTGAAAAGATTGATCTACGTTTATAAAGTCTATATTTGGTTGAAGATAAAATATTGATGAGATAATGGGTGTAAATTACGAAAGAGGGCATTTAATTTTTGAATCTGTAAAAAAGAAAAATTAACCCTTGACTAAAAAATATGAGGGTCATTTTTTGACAAATAATCCGCGCTCGTGTTTTTTCCTTTACTAAAGTAATCACAAAATACCACCTACCACGTGGGTTTCTGGTAGAGTGTTTTCAATGAAAATTTTCACACAATTGATAATGCATGGATAAACGATTTTTCTAGTAAAATTTTTGTGAGACTTCTACCAAACATGGTGAAGTTAAAATCCAAATCTAATTTGGCTGGGTATTTTGGAGAACAACTCCTGCCAACCAGGCCCTAAAGTTTATTATTTTAATAAATGACGAAGATTCCTCGTATATTTATTATATTATACTATTTTTTTTTTTTTTAAAAAAAGTTAGTGGAAAAATGTTGAAGATTCAGCTGAAAGAAAATAACACCAAAATCTAACGGAGCCCACAAATTATTTGGCATAAATAACATCGACTCCTTGGAGCTTGGACCAAGGGCCGGCCTGTCACGTGTCTTCACTCTTCATTCACTGTCATGATTCTCATGTTCCCCATTCTCTTTTATATTTTTTCTCGTCCTCCCTTTTGCAATAGTTTTTTTTTTTTTTTTTTTTTTGTATAAAATAAATTATTATGAGTTAATACGATTCAAGGATTGACTTAATCTTCACTTTTTATCATAAGAAACTAAATTAATATTATTATTCAACCCCGAATCTCTAATGTTATCAGAATACTGTTACTGAATTGAACAATTAAATTAAATAAATTTAATACTAAACAAACGTTATGGAACACTGTCACTTTATCAGAAAAATTTAATACTATAAATTTAATTTGCCGATTCTCGCACTTTTTAAAGAATTGTTGATATATTTTATAGTTGAAAAACTATAAAATGAATCACTATAATTTAAAAAAAATTAACTGACCCTTTTAAAAACTTAATAATATATTGAATTTGGGAATTTCATTGAAAAGGTTCTTAAAAAGTAAAAATTACAAAAAATCCTTTATAATTTACTACATAATTAGTAAAAATCTAATTTTCAATTTCTAAAATATTAATAAAAAAGTAAAAGAAAAACAGTTAACTAGGAAAAAGGTATATTTTTATGGTCCATGTCTAAATATTTTAGTGATGAAATAGAAGAAAAGGAATCATAAGATAAATTAGATTTTTTTTTTTTTTTTGTTAAAACACACAAAGTAGAACTTTTTAAAAGAAAGATAAAATCGAATAAAATAAATGTGGAAAAGGCAGGTGCAGAAGGATGGCCATGGCATCTGGTGTTAAATGAGAAAATTTTCAATACTACATGATTTTTAATAATTGTGTGGTCCTTTTTTTTAAAATAAAAAAACAATTCTATTTTAATTTTTTTTTTTAATTTTCTCTTAATTTCTCTAATTTTTTAATTTTAGCAGGGAATATAATATTCCCGGATGATTAAAAAAGCTCTCGTATTAGACTGAGTTCTAATATTTTGAAATTTTTATAGCTTAATTTTATTTTATTTTTAAGTAGACGTGATTAAGTTATGCTTTGATAATGATTTGACCGGTGATAAAACATGTAAATTATAAAATTTTAAAAATGATAAATAATATTTTAAGCTAATGCCTAAGGAATTGTAGGACTAGGAATTGACGACAGAAAAACCTAAAAATTGATGTATAAGAAGTAACGCCTCACATGATGGCTGTCGCCTTCCTTCGGTGGGTAGGAAGAGGGAAACAACCAAAACCAAAACCAACAACAATTTGCGCCTTATATTAATGGGAATTAATATCTCATTGATAAATTTTATTTCTTACTGTTTAAATAAAAGTAGAAGAGATTCATTTTATTTTATTTTTATATATACATGAAGCAAGATATTCTTATATTAATCTAAATATTAGAAGTCTTACATTTAATTTTGAATATTAATCCACTTATATTCAATAACTCACGTTACAAAAAAATTAAAGCCCTTAAATATAAGTAGACTTAATCGTCAAGATTAAACGTGTAATTTACGTGTAAATAGTTTTGACCCTATATATATATATGGAAAAGATCTGCTTACATTTTTTTTTATAAATTACATTAAGAGTCCGTTTGTTTTTGGCTTCTCAAAAAAGTAATTTTTATTTCTTCCTTATTTTAGAGGTATTTTTTACGAAAGTTAAAGCTATTTATATTTTTATAAAAATATTTAGTATTTAAAAACAATTTTTTGGCTTTTGACTTTTGCTTTTCTTAAAAGTTAAAATTTTTAGCTTATGGAAAAAAAAAAGTTTTTGGCTTTTTTGTGACTTCTGCTTTTTTTTTAATCCAAACGAACTAAGAACGAGAAGTGCTTTTTTTCTTGTAAAAAAGTAGCTTTTGAAGAAAAAAAACTCATCCAAACGGATTCTAAATATGATCGGTCATACACTTTTTATTAAAGTATGATCCATGTAATTTATAAATAAATTATCTCATTAAACATGAAAAACATGAAACTTATATTAGTACTATGGAAAAGTCATAACTCCAACCAAACACCAAACTGTTGTAAGTCCTAACAAAACTAAACTATTCAAAAAAAAAAAAAAGCGGACAGCAAAACAACACACGAAGCATAAAGCAGGGGAGGAACAAGAACAACAGAAGAACAACCTCAACATTCAACAACAATGTCGATCGCTTTCTCCTATTCCTATTCAAATTTCAATTCCTATTCTTCTTTCTCTTTATCCAAACACAACCCTTCGTTTTCCTTCTCTTCACCTTCCCTCAGTCTCCGTCTCACTCCCAATCCCACTCCCTCTTTCTCCATCCGACGTGGCACAGATCTCCCTTTTCTTCTCCGCTGCACCGGCGGCGGCGGCGGCGGCGGATCTTTCGGCGGTCATGGAAAAGGCGGTGATGGAGGCGGTGAGGAAGGTGGCAATGAGGGGGATAATAGAAAGAAGGAGGCGATTATGGTGTTGGCGGAGGCGGGGAGGTCGGTGGAGAGCATGCCGGCTGACTTGGCGGCGGCGATCAACGACGGTAAGATAACTGGTGCGGTGGTTTCTCGGTTTCTAGAATTGGAGAAGTCTCCATTATTGCGGTGGTTGCTTCAGTTTGGTGGCTTCAAGGAACGTCTTCTCGCTGATGATCTATTCCTTGCCAAAGTTGGTATGGAATGTGGTGTTGGAGTCTTCACCAAGGTTTCCTTTTTCCCTTCTTTTTTTCAAAAATCATGTCATACATTACTGGACAAATGTATATACTTTTACTTGGTACAATAAGGCTTGTAAAGATTGTAGTATTTTGCATTCCGCTGTTGATTCTATCTTGTTTTTAAATTCAAATTCTTCTAGGAGTAGTTGCTGTATGATTGTATATTAATGCTATTTTGGTTTTAGGTGTAGATGTTGCGGTGTTAGTTTCCTTCAGTTCAAGCTTTTTTTTTATGTTTTTATAACATCCCTTTTCAGTGAGTAAGAACGAATTGCTAATTAATACCAGAGGTCAGGTTTTGTGTTTTCATGATTCACGTGTAAGCTATGTTGAATTCAGCTTGAACGTATTGTGTATTAATTCCTCAAGCTTGTAGTCCATAATGCTTTAAATTCAGCATGACATCAAATATTGGACATGTTTGTTGGTTTAAATATTATTTAGCTTTTAAGTAGCTTACAGCTTAACTGGCTGTCTTATTTTGTGAAGAGTAGTATAGATATTTACTAGTAATGAAAATGAAAATAAAACATGGGAAGACGTTAAGAACAAAGCCTTTCCATTGAGGGCTTGCAAAGCTTAAATTGGTTGTTTTGTTGGGAATAACTTTTTACTTAATTCACTGCTTTGATATATTGTGAATACTTTGTCAGTCATATGGTGTAAACGTTTATAAGTCCATGAGATGAGTCATACCATTGTTTGATAAAGAGGATAAGGGTTAACAGTTCTTTTTGACTGATCTAATTATGTTATGGAATACTGCTAGTTTTAATTCTTTTTGTTCTGTTATAATGTGTATATGCTGATTGACAATCTGCTGTCACTTCTGTTTCTTCCCTCCATAGACTGCTGCTGAGTATGACCGCAGGAGAGAAAACTTTTTCAACGAGCTGGAAATTGTTTTTGCTGATGTGGTATGAATATTCTCAATCTCTCAAGAAATTACTCCCATCTATCTGCACAAATTTCCTTACTTTTCTTTACTAACTATTTTCTTCTATATATGCTTGTTAGCATTTTTATCATTACAATAGACTCATTTGACATATTTCTGAGATTCATTTTGTGTTTTGAAGCTTATGATTGACTACAATTGGAGATATCTCCGAAAAAACAAATTCACTATTTCCTCTCATTTTATAGGTTGGAAAATCATTATGAGACCAATATACCTTATTATAAATAAATAATGATATAGACGAGCTAGAGAAATTGATAACAACCAGTGTCTTTTGGTATTAGGTCCAAATAACACGTGAAGCAATTTTGTGGGTTCTTTGTTTGATCTATTTCAGTAATTTGGAGGCAGTTTTCGTGGTTCTTGTATATGTTACATGTTCCTGAGTGTTGATGAATGTTCAGACTTCAGATGTTATATCATCCTTGTGTCTAAAGTTTTTTTTTATCCCTCAACCTTTTGTCTCGGCTGTGCCCTTTCTTATTTTGTCTTTTTTAAATTACACTAGCGGGGAAAGTACATCTAATGCAGAAACCCCCGCCTTAGGGGTGAGTGAACCATGGTAACCTGTGCTACTGCCAGAGTGATATTTCATTTAATTTATTGTTTGTTAAGTAGTAGAAAAAAGCATACATCCTTCCCATCATTTATTTGGAACACTCCAATTGAGATGCTTAATATGACTATAAGATATTTACAATGAAAAAGACTTTTCTTTGTTTGGATAAAAGAATGTCTTTTCTTTGTGGATGAATTTATATACTAAAATTTGAGTTTAAATCCGTGTTGTTTTACTTTTTAATACATTTGTTTGTGTGTGTGTGGTATCTTGCACTTTGTATTTTGTACATGCCACAGTCGAGAGAAAATATTGCTTCCTGTGAAACATCTACTGAAGTCAATGGCATAACATCCCCTTTTACATATACTGTTCTTAGGTCATGGCCATACTTGCAGATTTCATGCTGGTTTATCTTCCTGCACCTACTGTATCTCTTAGACCACCACTTGCAATCAGTGCTGGACCTATTGCTAAGTTTTTCCACCACTGCCCAGATAATGCATTTCAGGTCTATTCATCGTATATGTTACTTTCACGTGGTTTTGATTACTTTCACAATTTTCCCAACTAAGTTTTACCATTTACCTTTCATAATCTTAATTTCCTTCCACAGGTTGCTCTCTCTGGAACATCATATTCCTTATTACAGAGGATTGGTTCAATTGTGGTATGTACAATTCAGTAACTTCTGTCTTATTATACGTTGCAAGTTAATCCAATTTTGTCTTTTTTGTTTCATTTTTTTAGTTTCCTGTGACTAATTGTTGTATATAATGCGCTTACCTTGCACAGCGTAATGGGACTAAGCTTTTTGCAGTTGGAACTGCTTCATCACTGGTTAGTTCTCATCTTGCTTGGGATTTTTCTTGCGCTTTTCTTGTTAATGTAAATTTTGTTTATAAGTTTTGACATCACTTGACGTTCTCTTCACCATAACTTTATGAGCATTTCTGGATGTTTATTCATTAATCATCACAAAATTCGAGCGGACTCATGATTTGACAATTGAATTGTCTGAAGCAGTCTTCTCATTTACCTTCAAATTATGGGCTTGATTCTAGCCACAGTTAGTACGTATAAATTCAAAAAACTTGAGAGGTGAACAATGAGTTTAGTCTTTGTTGCGGATCTAGCAAGTGTATTAGTCGTACAAGTAATAAAATGATGAGTGAAGATCGTTCCCACGAGGATTTGTGTCAAGCACTGACTAACCATATGTACTTGAGTTGAATCAAACAAAAGTTCATAGATTGCATAGATTTCTTGTCACCAAAAACTACACTGAATTGAATTAAAACTTGATAAATAAATAAAATGTAAATTATAATGTAAACAAGTAGTCAGATGTCATTTTCCCTCAAACATGAATTTATAGATTAACCAATTTCCATTATGAATTATCTACTATGTGATGTTGATCAACCTTTTTCTTATCATCTCAAGATGTAATCCCTTACTACCCTGATAGACACATTAATCAGAAACCCCAATTCCTTGGTGATTCCTTTCTTAATACATGCATTAATTACTAAGGTCTTAAGATCACATCAGAATCCTAGCATCAATCCCTTGACTACTAGAACACTGATGAAGTTGTCAAAAATAGAGAAACAATGTAAACATGTATGTTTTACACTATTCCTCAATATGAAGAATTAATCAAGACAACTTCATACAATCACATAATAGATAAACAAAACATCTAATTAACCATTCATAAATTCAAACTTGAGTTCCATTGAATCAGACTACAAAGGACTCTACTCAGACATAATACAAATAATAACAAGAGAAGAAGAAGAAAGATCAAACTCCATTGTCATGATAGTTGAGTCTTCAATCTTCAAGTACAATTACATGAAAGTATACTAATTATTACAATACTAAGTCCTAAGAATTTGGAAAGTCAGAGAAAATGAGGAGTCAGATCAGATCTATGAAAGATCTGACCTGATCTCCCTTCTCCTAGTGTGATGGGGAAATTCAGAATATCAGAGAATGGATATGAGAGAGTTGCATCTGATCATCTTCTTGTGAAGGCCCCTTGTCCTTTTATAATTTACAAATTACAACTGAAAACTGACATGGGCGCTAAAACTCTCATTTCTGGACGTTTTAGCGTTCAACCTTGACGGATGCCCAACTGCTTTTAACTGTCTTGGGCGCTAAAACGCCCAGTTTTGGCCGTTTTAATGTTCAGCACAAGCATCTTTTGTGCAGCAGGGCGCTAAAACGTTAAGTTTTGGGCGTTTTAGCGCCCAACACTTAGAATTTTCAAATTTTCAGAATCTTCTTCCTTCTCTCTTTTGCTTCTTTGAGCTTCAATTCCCTACAAGAACAATGTAAATTTTCAATACAACTTCCAGAACTTGTATTTAGGAATTTATAGGACATTGACCTCTTTTTCATCCATTTAATCACATAAATTTATACTAATTCATGCTCAAAAACCTGATGAACTAAGGGTTCATCAGTCTTCTCATTTACCTTCGAATTATGGCTATGGTTAGTATTACAGCAATTCTAGCATGGCAAAGAGTTATTTTTAAGGTTTCTCATGGGCGTTATGAATGATTCTTTTGAAATCTGATAGTGTGGGTGCTATTTGAATTAACTTTCTACAAGTTTTTTGTATGGTTAAGTTGTGTGCATCTGGGACTGTGAGTTCAGTTTTTCTATGGTGGAGTTCTAATCTAAATCCTGATATTTGACTCGCGCTCCTTCTATTGAATGTATTCTCCAAACCCCATGAATGTGCAGGGTAAGGTTGATTTGGCACAATGTAAGTCCACTGTAACAGTCAGCTGCTTTTCAAATATGAATTTGAAATCATTGATCCACTCGTTCTGAGGAGTAAGATAGTAAAGGGCGTAAAAAGTTTTCCAAGGATCTGTCATATATTACAACCTTTTGTTTTAATACATAATCTTGCTAAATGTTCTTTGCCATCAATGTTTTAAATGTAAGAGGAATCAACTTGGTTCAGACACTGACATATACTGCATTTTGTATTCATTCAGGTTGGGACAGCTGTGACAAACGCCTTAATTAATGCAAAGAAGGCTGTTGACAAGTCTTCTGCAGGGGAAATTGAAAATGTTCCCATATTGTCTACCAGTGCCGCCTATGGTGTCTATATGGCAGTTTCTAGCAACCTCAGGTAAAAAGGATGATGTGATTAGTGATGGATTATTTGAAGATTATAATCTAAAATCTACTAATGCTTCGAGCAAGTGGCTATCCACTTCTAACTTGATATTGCCTTTGCAATTGAATGTGATGCATTTAACTGGCTGATGTAACATTTAGAAAATTTCTTTCATTGTTAAACACGTTTTATAAAGGCTTTAGGAACTTTGAGAAATCAATGTAAAAAAAATGTCGATATGATATAATGTTAGTGCTACCTACCCATAGTTAAGTAATTTTCATCAGTTGCATTGCATTATCATTGTTCATAAAGTTTGTCTTGTTGTCATCTAATTATGGGCAAGCATCTCAATACCATGATTATTTGCGTCGAAAGAAAGGCATTTTTTTTTCTCCATTCTTGTCCTATTTGAATATGTTTATTTAATGAGATCGAGAGATGGTGTTTGCACAATTTTATGATGTTTATTGCATAACTTTCTAAAGATAATTCGCGGTTTATTATTTCAACCTTAACCTTTTGCCATATCATGTGGGTTATGATGACTACTTTCCATAATAAAAAAATGTTCTAGCCTATTCATGTCTCCAGTGACTTGAGTATATAGATTGTTCTCTAAAACTTTACTAAGAACCTGATTTTGGTGGCAGGTATCAAGTTCTTGCTGGAGTTATTGAACAGAGGATTTTGGAACCTTTGCTGCACAAGCACAAGCTTATGCTTAGTGCAATTTGCTTTGCTGTTCGAACTGGCAATACGTATTTGGGTTCATTATTGTAAGAAATTTCATACCTTTTCTAATTACTTGTAAAAGGAAAACTTATGTTGTTGTAAGTGACTCATGTTTTTGTAATTTTGCCGTGACAGGTGGGTGGATTATGCTCGTTGGATTGGGGTTCAGTAGGCCCAAGACAAAGATTACATGACTTGGATCTTTCTAGATTGACTTCATTTTTCTCAAGATGTTCATTTGCTTCATTACTGGGCATCATAAAACAATTTGTTTTTTCGGAGGTTTGGTTGTAGGATTAGCCCAATAGGTTCTCTTCCTCTCTATATTTATATGCTCATTGCTGAGCACTCTTTGCGTATTCTTGTTTTTCTTACAAGTTTCCTCATTCAATTGATGTTATGAGGATGTTGGACGTAATTTTTTTGGTGTACAATGACATAATTTTAAACTCGATGAAAAAGATGCTGCAGATTGAAAGATGTTAAAGAAAAAAGTTATTTGTTACTAGCTAAAAAAAATTCTCTGCTTTTGAACTGAGACTCATCCCTCCACCTTTTTTTTTTCTCTAGCATGAACTACTGGCTGTGTATTTTTTCACAAACTTGGCCTATATATTGACTGATTCCTCCTTACTTTGTTATGCTAGGTCTTGCCTTTGGAATTCTAATTATAAATATGCCTTTTTGAGATTTCTTTTCACTCGTTAAATTCAGTCTGGGTGGATTTGCTTTGTCTTCATGTGAGTATGTTCTTAGTTGTTTGTGTTAAATTCAGATATAAATGGTTTTGAATCTATATGTAATTTATAAACATTACAAAATTAATTATAATATGACCTATTATTATTTGTGTAAGTTTTACTAATTTTACTTTTTTTCTTTTTTGTTATAAAAAAATAAGTCATGTTAATAAATAATGTGAAAGGATATTATTTAAGGAGAAGGATTCGTTTACAATTTTTTTTTTATAAATTTTTGCAAATTACACTATCTTCTCTCGGGAAAACATAGTGAAATTAGAGTTCTTCCGGAAGAAGATAATGTAATTTGTAAACAAAAAAGTTTGTAAATATAACTTGTCTCATTATTTAATATTAAAGTTTATATGGTTACGAGAGATATTATTTTATGAATACACCGCTTTGCAATTTAAGAATGGTGCAGTTCTTTTTCTCCATTTGAGTGTATCCTGATGTGGGACGATATTTTATAGGTAAATTGGTGAAATTTGAGTTTGGGATAGAAGAGGAAAGATGATTTGTTTATAAATATTTGAAATTATCTCATATAAAGTCACCGTGACATTAGAATATTTCATAGTTCATTATGCTGTGCTTTTTATCATTTTTTAAATAATTTTTTTGAAGGTCGCCTCTTTTTGTGCTTTTCAAAAGTCACCAACGTACAGTACGCAATCTTTAATACACATGGTGTGGCGGTAGCTAAGCATGTCGGTTTAATGGCAGAGGGGACTCCATAAAAATACATTTACGAAAAGGGTATTATTCACAATACCTTGAATGATAACTATTAAGTATTAAATAGCCATATACTCTTACATGGTGTGTAAAGATGCTTGGCAGTACATATATATATATAAAGTTTTCTTATAACTTTGGAAAATTAAAAATGCCTAAAGTTATCAATTTGTGTTTTAATGAATATCTTTCCTTTATTCAAAATTGTATCTATTTATATCTATGCACTTTTAGATTTGAGTATTTCATATAGATTTACAAAATACTCACTTTTAGAAAAGAAAATAATAATCAAATAAACCATATCTAAAATTTGATATATTTACAAGGACTAAAAATATATTTAAGCCATTAATGATAAAAGGCCTGTGAATAAGCGGAGCTAACTATTTGTGGATATATCACTACTGACTAAAGTAACTTGGGGAGAGAACGGAACAACGTAGAGAATACTCACTTAAGATTATTGTAAATATAAGAATATATCGATTCTACATATGTATTCAGTTCTTACAATGTACTTGTCAACAATAACATAATCTCACGACTCAATCTTTACATTTTTCATCATCATCAGTGGATACTAGCTGTGTAATAAATTATAACTACAAGTAGCTATTCACCATATAAGGGAGAAAACTACATTAAATTTTAGTTGCTAGTAGAGTTTCTATAACACCCCATTCTTTCTCATAAGAAATGACAAGTCAATTACCAACTATAATTGCTAGGTAGTCCCTGAAGGCCTACTAAAAAAGAAGGATAATGAGAAGTCATAATTCCCGGGGGCCATCAAAAGACTGTGTCTTTCTCAAATTCCAATGGAGGCCCTCATGAATACTGCGCAAGAAGTCATTAGTAGAATCAACTAGACAAGCTGTAGGAACAGGCCAGGGTGCCATGCTGCAAACTAGTGCATCTCCCGGTGCTAATCGCTTCCTGTCCTTGCCATCAAATGAAGCCCATGCAGGACTTCTGCTATTGAATGGTACTTGCACCCGTAAAGTGACATGCTCAGGGAATATCAATGGCCTAAAAGATAGGGAATGTGGGCAAATTGGTGTGAACAAAATACCCGGAACCTGCAGATTTGAAGACTCGGTTTCAAATGGAGGTGCATATTGATAATATTCATTTAAAGTTCTAGACAAGTAAAATGGAATCAATTAGGTGACTGATGTCACGGCCACTGTTAAGGTTAAGGTGAATGTTAACTTCATGAAATAGATTTCTATGGCATTTGTAACAATCTAACAGCCTTAAATGAGAGACAAAAGTGAAGATAATTCTTTAATGAACTGACAATTAATAGCTGTTAATGAAATGCAATTAAGCAATTAATGCACAAAGGAATTCTACATTCAAATTAATCCTTTATTCTATCGCACGCAAAACAATACATAACACAGTGTGTTATGATAAATTTTCCGTTATTCTATCCATGGATATCAAATTTTTTTACTCCCATGCATTGGTGATCAAACAAATAACAACACGAAAGATTGTTCTATTACTCAATCACTTGTGTTGTACTGTTCTATTTGTCTTGTCCCTCAATATGCATCAAACGCAACCTAAGTTATTCCATAGACTAGATAACCAAACTAATAATGCATACCTTAATTATGATAGGGTTCCCAACCCATAAAATTATCACGTATTTCCACAACCATACCCTATTATTCCTACTCTATACTCCAACAATTGCTATTATTTTGGAACATCTAGTTTAGGCTGAATGCTCTTTTGACTGTGAGTGAGACAGTCCATATGCTGTGAAGGAAACTTTGTTAATGCTTTACAAGGGATTTTGAGGGAAGAAATAAGGCAAATCACATCGGAGGGTGTACCATATTGGCAGTAATGCTTTTGGCACAATATTGTTTTAGTGGCTTTATGCTTTATGGTGTTTTTCTTTCAACTTTTTGCTTATTTTATTCAAAATGACTGGAGCATACTTTTGCAGTTGATGTTCTTATAGTTTCATTAGTAACTTGCATTCACCTAACTGTAAATTTTTTGCTTTCTTTCAATAATTTATTCAGAGAAAATATACTTGATTGAGAGATTCCACATAAATCCTATAATGCAAAAACTAAAAAAGGCAACAATATTCTATAGTTTTGACCTTTTAGATAATTAAGAAAAGTAGGAAAGTCAATCTAGGAAAGCTTGTTATTTTCAATTCAATTTTATTCTCCTAATTTTCAAATTTGACCTTTTCCTACCTTGGGAATAGTCACCTGGAAGTTTAGTCCAAGTAAGACTTTCAGTTTATAAATTTACCTGGAAGGAGAAGTAGAAAACTAACTTTATAATAGAATTTTTGTCCAACTTTGTTTCTGTTATTTTCTTCCTCGGTTAACACTTCTAGAAATCTTCAGGCGACTCCAACAGCCTTCAATTATTTCTTTAAGTATACTTTCTTGTACAATAAATTCATCTTAAATTCCCACCCAATCCCCAAAAACTGAAATTCCTGAATTGAACACTTTTTAGAACTCCATCAAATCATAACTAAAACTAAAGACACATTCTCAGGACACTGTTACAAAGTTCAAACGGCAAATTGCAATTTATTCATTAAGTATACTTTCTTGCACAATAAATTCATCTTAAATCCCAATAGTTTATTTTCTTGTAAAAGCCATTACAAGGAAGCACAATGGTGCACAAAAACTGTAGCTTCAAGCTTAATAAAATTTTATGTCAATACCATACTACATTCATTATCTATTTCAAGACCAAGAAACAACTTCAATAGAAGGATTGACCAAAATTTCCAGAGTAAAATCTTCTCTAAGAATAAAAAATACACTATCAGAGGTATCTATCCAATAACAGAAGGGGAAAAAATAATAAGAAAAGTAATATGTAAATGGGAAAAACTTCTAGGTAAAACTAGTAACAAAAAAGTAGTCCAACCTATCAATATTTATTGACTGAGATAAATATTGTCAATTAAAATAAAATAAAATTAAATACTGCAATCAAGGCATAAGAATAAGAAACTATTCAACAAATTACCTGAGGATGGACCATTGATCCTCCAGCCGCCAACGAATATGCAGTACTGCCGGATGTTGTGGACAAGATTAATCCATCCCCTTGCACACATGTGACAAAGGAGTTGTCACAGTAGCATTCCAAATTTGTGAGGTAAGATGATATTCCACGATCAATAGTAACCTCATTTAGAACAAGTATTGGTTCTTCAGTTTCATATTCATTTTTAGCTGCATCTCGTATAACATGACATAGCAAACGGTGCCGTAAGGTGATACTAATGGGGCCCTTCAAAATTGATTCAAGGCATTCTTTGTAATTTTCACTATCTGAAGGATGGTTAAGTTCAGCTTCCAATTAGAAATGAAAACAGATATTATAATAACAAGAAGTTAATATACATTTAGGCCAAGTTGGAGGATACAGAAAGGGGTCATAAAGCCAAGAGACCCCAAAGAAAAGGGCACAAGAGGAGGCACTGGCCCTTTGAACATAGACGCTGCCTGCACATTTAGTACATGATAATTACTTCTCAATACAATATCACGTTTATTCCAAATTAATTGGGGTCGGAAATCAATGAACCCATATAAAAGCAAACCAATCAATATAACAAAGCAAACTAATATGCAATATATATTATGATATTGTCATATTCCTAGAAGTATAAGTTTCAAAAATAAAAAATGTTAATTAAATGTTTAAACTCTAGATATGAAAGAAAATAGTTTTTACATTTTAATGATTTACTAGTTTGAATAAATAGTTAAAAGAACATTTTGATACATAATGTATATGCATGATTCAAACTTCCTTGGACATGATATCTCTCCCACACAGATATCTCAATGCATAGAATCATTCACAGGGAATAAAATATCAAGCAATATATACTGTTAAAAGTAAAACACATCAGCAATTCTAAAAGTGCTTAAATTTCAGAAATCAGTGGTATGGATATATAACTGGAAATCTGAAAGAGTTCCCTGTGGTGTGTCAGTTCCTCCATTATTCACAATAGTTGTAGGCTAAAATTTATGCAAATGCTTTTACAGCTTCAAAACATATCTTATTTGACAAAATTGACAAAATTCACTTAGAAAAATGAACCTTACAGTTGTCATCCGATTGCAAATTAGTTAAATTGGTTTCACATACCCATAGGACAGTGCCATCTCCACCAAGAGTTATCACAAGGTCAACTTTAGTGTGCAGCATCAAAATTTCCTTATCTACAAGCAAAAAAAATGATTGATATAAAAATTCAAATTTTGAGAATAATAAAAGTATGCCACCACTATCATGAAATAGTTAACTAAAAATATAATACAAGATATTGCCTGAAGTGAAATTCATTATCTTAAATCAAACAAGGAGGCCATGATACAATAAATAGCACAGCTTTTTTAATCTAAAATCATATTATTTGCCTCAAGAAAATGATTGATCTGGTACATCAATTCTGAGCTAAACTCAAATAGTCAAAGCACTATTTCCTGCTCAAATGCTGAACTAAAAGCTAAACATAGAATTAATACCATATTATACAAGCACAGAAAAAAACATAACTGCCAAAATTATGGCAACAATAAAGATGCATCACTTCAAGTGTTACAATATTTGGATGCTAGCTTACCAAAATAGCAGGCCATAATTGAAACTAATAGAAGGCATGGTTTGCACCAAAGGTCCATTGTTACCTTGGTATTAGATGTACTTATCAGGTACATCCAAGAGCTAGTGCCTTAATGCATGTTTCTTACATCTGATATAATCCTAGTTAATGAGTCGCTAGAAGAAGTAATACTAAACTTTCTTTGGCCCATCACTGTTTTCCTTATCTTCACAATATTTCTATACATAAGTTAGCATATCTAGATAAGGTGCACCTCTCAGATGCAATGGATCCACAAATATAGCATTAAAAAAAAGCCCTGGCAATACCTCCAAGTATAACATCAATGTACAAACTCTGCAATTTTGTGAAGTACATCAAGTGAAGAGTATCCCTTTAGGACATCAAATATTTAATTGCTTACCATCATTCCAAGTTTCTAAAAAGTTGAAGTATGATGACTCTGTCAAAAGTTCCACCCTGACACGTGGTTCCACATAAATGTGTAATTTCTTTTGCTGCCTCAGCCATCTGGGAAAAAAAGGCAAGTAACACCATTTAACCAAGGTTTGGCTGTACTAAAAAGGTAAATCAAAATGAAGAATTTCATGTTATAAAATGCAAAATATTAAGTGATGTTAAACTTAAAACTTGACAGGAAACAATCTTCAGTCTTCCACACCAACTTCACACAGAATGAATTGCAAAGTCAGGTGAACGTTAATTTTTGCATGAATTATTGATTTTCCATCAGGCTCAAATATTATATCTGTAATATATATCTATATATATCAACGCACAGAATGCTCTTAGCTTCCGCATTAAGTAGAGACCTCTAAGCCCTCCTAACAACAATTAATAAAGAAAGAATGAAAGACACCAGCAGCAGTTGCAATGTGCAACAAATAACTTGTGAGCTATCTGATATAAATTTCATTCCATAACAATATATTATAAGTAAAGGGAAGGAAGAAAATATGACCTTGGAAGATCTGAAAGTTAAAACAAACAACATGTTGTGATTCACACCTTATCATTTCAGCACACAGAATTTGAACTGAAACTGAATTTGGTTTGGTCAATATGAGCACCGTCTGTGGGCATGACTCCCACTTCAAAGAGATCTGAAATAAAGATGACTTTTCAATAAGAAAACTTAAAAGTATAACTACGAAAAATTTAGTACTAGCATGACGACAAACTTTAAGAAGAGACATACAAGCTTATCGATGTAAGATAATTTGTTGAGTAATAAAATCAAAACCTCCATGACAGAAGAATTGATACCTGCTTACTACTGCGCTCTGCAGTGGTTATGTTTCCTCTTTCAAAAGAGACAACATCATGTTTGTGCTGATCACTTTGCTCACCTTTGCAGTACCATGAAAGTTTAAATGAAGCCTGTCACAAAAAAGAACAATTTCAGTTACATTTGAATTGGTAATTTTAACTTTGTTAATAGACACAACAAATATAAATTACTACAAGGGTATGAATTTGATACTGGTTGGACAAGTTCCTCAAAACATATGGTGTAGTACTCGCACTGTCATGGGAAAAGAGATACATAAAATTCGATAGTAATTACCATAATTCTGTCCCAGTAACACCATTACTAATTATCCCATTTCTCATTTAAATGTAATGGCATAAGGCTCAACAGCTTGAGTTGTTCTGCAGAGTCATAATCTATTCAGCTTTACAGATGTTCTAAGATGAGAAGCATCAGCAAATTGAATACATATGTAGACAAACACATGTACACACACAGACACAAATATTTCAAAGTATCAATAGGAAACACAGCTGCAACAGGATGATCATAATACCCCATTTTGCTTTAATCAAGGATTTATAAAATACCTTTCTGATCATCTTAGAATTAAAATCGGGTTTCCCATCCCTAAGAACCTCATGGGAGCAGATACCATTCGTTGAACAACATCTTTCAGCCTGCTCATTAGCTTCATTACACAATGTAGGTTGGTTGACAGGGTTATTTCTCCTCATATCATCAAAATCAGCCTGATGCTCCAGGCAGGATTTCTCTATAATAAAAACAAGCAGCAAACATAAATTTAAACTACCAGAGTTGAAATATAGACAGAACATAAGGTAGCAGTTGAGATGGAAAGCATATAGTCAGCAAGAGTATGATACAGGCCACACGGTAACACAAACATGGAAGTCATAGCAAATTAGAAACTACCAGCTTTCACTTCTGTGTTTCCATAACTACATCGTTCAGAATTTTTCAATCATACCACTGGACCTTCCTAGATATTAGAACTTCCGAAGGTACAATATTGATATCCAAAATCATTCCATAGTTTACTTTCTCCTCAGGTCAAGATTGAGGCCATCAAACTGAATTTACGCAAACTAACGTAAATTGCAGGGATATTCTATATTCAATAATACAGAGGAGCAGTATTAAAGTTGTTCATTTATGACTGAAAGGTCATGGGTTCAAATCCGAAAACAACCTCTTTACAAATATGCAAGGGTAAGAATATGTATAAGGATTACCCTAATTCCACCTTCGCTAGTTGAGGTTTAATGTGGAGTGGGTTTTTTTAATTCTAAACTCAATAATGAAAACAAAAGGACTATTGTGCTTAAATAATTAGAGATCAGATCAGAAACAGAACCACCACCCCCCCCCCCCCCAAAAAAAAAATAAAATAAAAAATAATAATAGTACAAAAATCACTGACTAAAATGTCTATAAACAACTTTGGATGAATATGGAATAAAAAAAAAATCAAAAGCAAAAGACATTGTATATAACTGAAATGTATGAGCAGAAGCAATCAAAAGAAATAAATTGTTCAGCAATCTACAAGTAAAAAGGGAGCAGGATTGCAGTTAAGTCAAAAACAGATGAAAAAGTTTCAGTTCCTTCTGCAACATCAATTGTTAAAGAATAGAAAATATAATTAAAGAAGCTCCATCTTGTAGTTATTCAATCATTCGTACCTTTATCTTCAAACTGTAGATTCCGTGTTCTCTCCAACTCATATTTACGTTTCCATTCAGCAGCCTCAGCTTGAGCAGAAGCTTTTCCTTCAGCAACTCGCCTGAGGGCCTTCGCAACAGCTAGAAGGAGTTTAAGATAAAATAAGGACAAAGATATCTGTATCAAGATCATGTCTTGTTGCAGTTGATATTAATAATTTCAACAAAATATGTTCATACTTCTTAAAGCTTCAGAGAACTCTACAAGATGGTCATCTGACCCCTGGATTGGAGATTGAAGAAGTTCTTGCACTGCTTTCTCAGGGAAGAGAGAAAAGGAACTGATAAAACCATTCTCAGGCTGAGAACATGACATACTTGCATTTCCCTGCTACATGAAGGAAATCAGACAAACCAATAAATACACTTGTAACTAAAACTGCTATATGTGAAACTGCGGCCCTCCAAAACAGTGGATTATCATGCTACAGTCTAAAAAATAGATATAATTATAAATAAAGAAATCACAGAACTATTAACATCGGTGGACTTTGTTTCTCCTTTGTTTTATAAGAAAAACATATGAATGACTACTAGATAGAAATTCATTCATATTAGCAGATATATCCTCTGCACTCTACAGCTCTATGTCAAAGTGCAATGGAGGTAGCACGAACTGACATGAAGAGTAGAGGTTTGCCACAAATCCCAAGTAAAAAACTAGAAATGTTGTTCATATAAGCAGCACTACTGGATGCTGATCCAGTAAGTAGCAAGATAATCAAGGTCAATTTTATCTCTAATCATTTTTGGGCATCCTCAATTTTTTTTTTTCCAATTCAAATAATTGAACTTTGCTAGTATGAACAAGTTTAGACATGTTGAAACAGTAAATGATTCCCAGGCTCCCAAATTCCAGGAGCAAAAACCCAAAACTAAATCCTAACCTCAAAATGGGACTTGAAGCAAGCAGCCATATGAACAAAACCAATTAATAACGAAAAACCCTAGAAGTAAACACACATGAACCCAACTAATAATTAAGATTAAATAACAAAGAGAAAAATTCTGCAAGCAGCAATTAAGAAGGACATGATCAAAATACAAAAGACAGGAATACAATTACCGAGGAATTGACTTTGTTTGGAGCCATAACAGAGAGTGAAGAAAAGAGAGACCAAGAGTAAGAGATGAAGAATTTGGATCCCTTTCCCTGGTTGAACCTTCCCTGGTCTTAGTGTCCTGGCATTTTTGACCTTCCAAAATATCTCTTAGTTGGATTCTTATTTAGAATTTGGTACTTAGGCAGAGATTTTGGAATTTTTCTTTTTATATTTATTTTAGTATATTTTTACGATCGTCCCACAAAAAAAGAAAATAGTTATATTAAAGTAAGACTCATCCTAATTTTGTGGGAAAAAAATTAAGTTAATGTTTTTTAATAAATTAATTACGCATTTATTACAATTTTGAAAATAATTACATATTTATTATATAATACGACGCCCATTTTGAATGTCATTAAAGACACCTATATTGGGCGTCACTCAATCACGTCTAATTGAGCTGTCACTTATCAGGCGTTGACACGTGTAATATTTTTTTTCCCAAAAATAAAATAATTTAATCATAAAACTTCTGAAAGCTATAACTTTTGACTCGGGTATCCAAACTAGGTAATTCTTTTTTTGATTCCACATAGCTTTTCGAGATCTACGCAATGACATCTCATTTGACATATTTTATTTATCACAAACACAATTTAAATTTAGATCAGGTAATCCTTCTTCCAAAACTATAATAAATGCGTAGTTAATTTATTAAAAAACATTAAATTAATTTTTTTTTGCCTAATTTTGTGTCAATGTAAGACTGATTTCTTTAAATACAAAATAACATAAATAGCTTATCAAAAAAAATAGAATAACATATACTTAAGCTTAGAGTCGTCAAAACGGGCTCGGTTCGACGGGTCAACCCGTCCAATCCGTTAAGCGGGACGGACTGAGTTTTTTAACCCATCTCAAAAGTGAGGCGAGACGGGGCAAGCTCATCTTTTGATGAGCATAGGCGGGCGGAAGCGGATCAGTGTAAAATAGGTTCGGGCTGACGGGCCAACTCGCCTAACTCACCAAACGAGACGGGACGAGCTGACCCATTTTTTGACAGATTGATGACAGAGTAAGATGGACCGCCCATTTTGCCGCTCTACGTTGATCGAGGTTGAATTTTTAACTGTGTATATGGGAAAAAAAAGTTATTGATAGATGCTATATCTATTGGTAATCTCTCTGTCTCGATAAAATCAGTCTTTGATTATCAATTGTGAAATATCTTTGGAATAATTTAAAATAATATAAATAGAACTCTGTAGATTAATTGTCGACACAAGCTGAACAGATGAAGAGATAACATGAGTTCGTAGGAATATCAGTATCAACTTATCTTAAAAAAATAATTATGATCGGTATAAAAAATATATATAAATAGACAATTCTTTTTTTAATAAATGATATCAAAATTGATACATTTGTTCTTTCTTATTGAAAAAAATATAATTTGCTCAGCGCTGAGCTCAACCATCTTTGACAAATTGCTTTCTATGGTGGGAACCACACACCACTACGTTAACGCGTGCCAAGTCAAATACCTATACAACGCATAATATACGACACTTTTTAAATTTTCACATATGTGTATTATAAATGTCTTTTTTTTTGTGTGTGTGTGGAAATATTCTAAATGTCTTTTTCAGTCTTCTTCTAAATAAGAATACAAAACAACCACTGTCAAACATCACATTACGCTACTTAATAAATTTTTATTTTAACCAAAAATAATGATGTCTCATAACTTTATAATTTAAGAAAATTTTGTCGGGTGTATAAGGATCTGTCCTTGTACGGATTTGGTAATTTCTTTGAAGGTTTCATTTGTTAGATTTTTTTTCCCTTAATTAAAATTTTAGATTAAAAGAGACAAGCCTTATACAAAATTAAAAAAACACCAACATCTTCAAAATCTTAAAACGAGATTAGGTATCGGAAAAGTTGAGAATTGAACCAAGTTTCGAGCATAAAGTTGGACTGAAAAAAATCGCCGGTAACCAAAAAATAAATGGGTGGTAATCTGGTCCACACGCATTCAATGTCAACTACCAACTATCAACTCCCGCACACCGCAACCATAGGTTCAAACCTAATCAATTGAAACTTAACCTTTTGTTGTCTGTTCTGTAGGAATTATTTTCAATTGAAAATTTGAAAAAAAATTATGTTTAGTTGATTGACTTAATATATAAATGAACTCGAACAACTGCAAAACAAAAAAGGTTTCAACAGATATAAATTAGTGCTTGTCTACCAGAGCAGTCGCAAAGCTTGAAATAAAATATTGACGGAGCCATACTAAACCTTTGAAGTCATCATATTATTTGTAAGAAATCAACGTTTCAGGTTATAATTTCTTAATCTTTTCATAATAGAATTGTTCTTGTAAAAAATGCAACTGTATATGATATCTATGTAGAGAGTTATGGGTAGCGATGTAAATAGATTAGGCTAGATTAGGCTTTGACTTAAATAGGTTAGGTCTGTGTAAAAAATATTGAATCTGGCCTGGCCTGATAGCCAGTGTAGACTCCAAATTATAAGTATGGCCTGATGTATATTTAAAAAATAAAAGTCTTGGCCTAGGCCTGATAGCCTGTTTAAGTTTATTAAACATTCAATAATTAAAAAAATAACTAAAATAATATTACTTTCTTATTCAAAATTATTAAAATAATAACTTTATTTATTTTATTTAAAATAAATAATATAATATAGGCCAGTCAGTAGACTTATAGGCCCGACATGTACAAAAAAATCTATGACTTGTTTTCTAAATAGATTTTTTTTAAAGTCTAGACTTATTTTTATTTTACCATTTATAATAGATCAAGTCTGATCTAATATAGGCTAGACTGTAAGCCTCTGTAGGCCAATCTAATACATCTACCTCCACTGGCCATGGGTAAACGAAAACAAGGAAGATTAAGTAGCAGACTGGTCAAACTTTCGCTTTTTCGTAGCATTGAAGTTTTATTATATTAACTTAATCTTTTTCCTATCTCCATTATCTTTATATTCTCTTATTTATTTAATTCTTAAGTTTTAGAGTTCATATAAAGTAAGGAACCTTTATATAAAACAATCCGATCTTAGTATAATACGATGAATTCGCATTAATCACGACTTGTTTCATTTTCAATTGCTTCTTTATAACTTTTCCAAAATTAAAATATTTTTTATTGCTTTAAAATCTCTTGTACCAAATATATCTATACAATATTTTTTTTTTTTTTTGATAACAATCTATACAATATTTTGATACATTTGTATATGCTTCACTCATAATTTGTTAATCGAACAAAATCCACCATGACATAGTTAAATTTTGATTTAAATCTTATGAGCCATATATAAGCCCAACTAATTTGTATTTATGGCATGAAATTGAACCAAATCTACACAAAAAATTTCTTTATTTCCTTTTTCTGTCTCGTCAAGATTAATCATTAATTATTTGAGAGATTAAAGTTGCTCCTCTGAAGAAGTATTTTATTTTGTAAATTTAAACATTTATTACTGTATAGACCTCTTAATTAACTAGCAAATTTCTTGTGTATTGTACAAGTATTCTTGTGTGATGAACAAATTTTGTCACGTTAAAATCTACTTTTTATCCAATTTTGAAATCCCAATTCAATTCTTCTTATCCTATCTTATTTACTTTAGTTGCCATATATTGATATTTAGATAAACATCAAATGTAATTGTCATTGACTAGAAAACAAAACAAACTTTACTATGTTTAAATGTACTTTCTATCTGAGTTTATTCTTTTATATCTATTCTATATACTTCATATTTTTATATCTTTTAAACTAATGCAAACATTATCTTTCAACAAAGTCAGGGAAGAAAATAACAGACAACTCCTGTAATGACATGAAGGGTGATGTCAAACATGATTGTTAAACACTCTATGAGTAATACTAGTAGTGGTGGAGCTACTTGGGGCTATCTTGTGTCTTGGAACTAGTTAGTTTTAAACTTTTTAGAATTTGGTATAAGTGAGGCTAAAATTTGGCAATTATGCAAAATAGATAAAACAATGACACAAACTAAAATTTTGGGGGACAATTTTTTGGCACGAGCTAAAAAAATTTTGTGGCTCCACCACGAAATACTAGTAGTTATTTTTTAAAAGGTAAAAATAGATTGTCCCCTCACTTCACGGCTAGATAATGAGTAAGAAATACTTATCTTTCTCCTAAACAAAATTATGTAATGTACTTATAACTCATTACACATTTTATTTGAATGTCAACTAAGATTGTTCAATCATTTGATAGCTAGAATTTTTTTTTCTCATGAGGCCAAAGTTTTTCTTTTGATAAATAGTCACTATGACTCAAATTTAATAGAATTCAGTAGTTATCACGTAATGTTTTATTTTATTTTATTTTATTGTTTTCAATAATAACTATTGAACGGTTAATAGTACCATATTTGTCTGATTGATTGATAGTAGACATGGATAGTTATGACGTGAGTGATGATCACTCAAAATGATCAATAATAATTATTTAGTAGTCAATCCCATGATATTTGTTACGAGAGTAGTCGGTCAATTTCGATTGCTCATAAGGATAGTAAAATCTATATCCTTTCGATTTTTCTGGATAACCAATGAAATAACCACTGATAAGTCTCTTGCTGGGACACTTATGAGTACACTGACCACCATGAAATTTGATGGTTCGCGTACTATGCATGAGCATGTTATTGAAATGAGAAGCATTGCGGCAAAATTGAAATCATTGGGAATGGTTGTGGATGAGAACTTCCTGGTGCAGTTCGTATTGAACTCATTACTGTCTGAGTATGGTCCTTTCCAAATGAACTATAATACCATGAAAGATAAATGGAATGTGCATGAATTGAACAGTATGCTAGTTCAGGAGGAAACCAGACTCAAGAATCATGGAGCTCATTCCATCAATTATGTAAAGCATTAAGGAGCTGAAAAGAATAAAGCTAAGAAGCATGAAAAGAAAGGAGGAGGAGGAGGACCCCTTAAGGTTAATGAGGCCTCTTCTTCCAATATCCACAAAAAGGAAAGTAATGCAAAGATGAGGTGCCATTTCTGTAAAAAGGAAGGGCATTTCAAAAAGGACTTCCTGAAACGTAAGGCTTGGTTCGAAAAGAAATGTAAGCCTAGTGCTTATGT